TGGTGTACATTTAAAAAGCATTTTATTCACCTATCCCTCAAACTCATTTAGGACATATCCCTAAGTGAATCTGCTCTGACACTAAAATATGCTGGTTTGCTTGTTCCCTAAAAATATTAATGTTATTTTAATTTTTGCCCATATAAAATTTATTGGATACACAGTATGAGAATGGTGCCAAGCTATTTCTTTTCTATGCGGATATTCACTTAACAAGATGCTCTGTGCATTATCCTAACTTTGCCCATTTCTCAAATGTTGTCATTCTTTTGCTTGCTTCTCACTGTGCTCTCTTCCTAGGTGGCTTTAAATCTATTTGTGGAGTTCCTTTTGTTTGTTTGTTTGTTTGCTTGTTTGAGACGGAGTCCCGCTCTGTTGCCAGGCTGGAGTACAGTGGCATAATCTTGGCTCACTGCAGCCTCCAACTCCCTGGTTCAAGCAATTCTCCTGCCTCAGCCTCCCATGTAGCTGGGATTACAGGCACACACCACCATGCCAAGCTAATTTCTGTATTCTTAGTAGAGATGGGGGTTCACTATGTTGGCCAGGATGGTCTTGATCTCCTAACCTCGTGATCCGCCTGCCTCGGCCTTCCAAAGTGCTGGGATTACAGGAGTAAGCCACTGCACCCGGCCTATTTGTGGAGTTTCCTGAGAGCCTTTTGAACTTCAGGCCTGGGAATCCTATTGTCTATTGACCATCTCCATCTGTGTGTCCCTGGGGAGCCAGGAACCCAATACACTCCTTCAAAACTTTCTCCCATTCCCTATTTTAGGCAGTATATGGTACCATTTTCCCAGATATCCAGGACAGAAAGAGGATAATTATTCATTACTCCTAACTCTTCATTATTTCCCATATCTAAAAGGTCAATGGGTTTTGTCAAAATACTATTTTCTCCCCATTGCCATTATCTTAGCTTATGTCCAGATTGTGTTACATCTTTTTTCTCAGAACTACCTCTTTGAGCCCTTCTGTACATTGGCCCAAGGTATCTTTCAACACACACATCTGAGCTAATCAAGTCCTAAGGGCTCCAGTGACTCCTCATTAACAGGAAACACAACACCCTTTAAGACTTGATTCCTTTTTTTTTTTTTAACGATTCCACCTATCTCTCCTTTATCTGAGGAATGTCTGAATTCGAAGCCAGACTGCCAGATACTGAATTCTGACATTCCAACTTACTAGTTTTTGATCTTACACAAATAACATAGCCTCTCTATATACAACTGTGTTCAAAGGTATACAATACATAAAAATGAAAACATTTACATCACTGTTAGAAACTCCGGTTCCTGAGCTTTTAAATATAGAAAACAAGTATTATTTTATGTTTTTATTATAACTATACATCATGTATCTGATTTACTTATACTCTGGAGTTTGGCTGCCTAGGTATGAATCTGGGCTCCACAACCATTAGCTTTGGAAAGTAATTTAACCCTACTTCCATTTTCTTATCTGTAAAATGGGAGTAATAAGATCTGCCTCATAGTGATTGTTGTCAGGAATAAATGAATGAATATCCCTAAAAGTGCTTCAAATACCAATAGTATAGTATGCATCATTTAAAGTATTAGCTATTAATAAAATTTAAATAATGGGGACAAAAGTTTCTAATTTCCCACCCATGTGGGTACCCTTCCAATGAATCCTGAACAACCTGGTGATTCCTTTTATCACAGAAATTAGCACAATGTATTGAAACTGTTTTTCTTATCTATATGTTAAGGTCTAAAAGATATTTCTTTGCCTTAAATACTTTGGCCTCTAAGATCCCCAAGAGCTTGATGCTTCTGCTTTAGGGCCTTTTCAGTCTGCCTATGCCTCCCTCTCCAAATATCATATATAACACCAAGGCTTTCTAATGTGCTTATGAATACAAACATTAAATGAGAATCATACCATCATAGATAGATTTTTGGTGAGAAAATATTTTCTTGCATGCACTCAAGCCTATCTATCTATATCTATCTCCTTTGATCTCTCTATCCGTCTATTCTCACACACACTCAGGCCTATCCTTGCATGTACTCAAGCCTATCTTGTCTATCATCTAATCCTTGCATGCATGCAAGTCTGTCTATGTATCTATTTATTTATATATCTGAGTCAAAGGCTTGCTCGTTCTGTCTATCATCTATTATCTATCTATCTATCTATCTATCTGAAGTCAGAGGTTTGTTCAGTCACCCAGCCTGGAGTACAGCGGTACAATCATAGCTCACTGCAACCACAAATCCCTGGGCCCAAGATATCCACCCATTTCAGCCTCCTGAGTAGCTAGGACTACAGGTGTACACCATCACTCCTGGCTGATTTATTTTTTATTTTTGTAGCTATGAGATCTTGCTATGTTATCCAGGCTGGTCTGGTCTTGAACTCCTGGCCTCATGTGATTCTCCCACCTTGGCCTTCCAAAGCGCTGGGATTACAGTGTGAGTAACCATGCCCAGCCTCAAGTCAATTTAGTGTCTTGATCAATTTTCTACACAGTGCAGCAAAAACAAATTATGCTGACTGAAATTATTTTCACTGGGAGCATCATTTTCTACGTTAATGATAAAGCAACAAATTGATTCCCAATACATTTTTTGCACACATGAATTCTTTTAGAGGGTTGGGCAAGGTGGCTCACACCTGTAATCCCAGCACTTTGGGAGGCCGAGGCAGGTGGATCACCTGAGGTTAGTTCAAGGCCGGCCTGGCTAACATGGTGAAACCCTGTCTCTACTAAAAATACAAAAATTAGCTGGGCATCGTGGCACAAGTCTGTAATTCCAGCTACTCGGGGGGCTGAGGCAGGAGAATCACTTGAACCAGGGGGGCGGAGGTTTCAGTGAGCCAAGATTGTACCACTACACTCCAGCTGGGGCAACAGAAGACTCCGGCTCAATAAGTAAAGAAATAAAATCTTTTAGAGTTTTTACCGCTGATTTCGCAGGATCAAATAAAACAATCTAAATTTTATTGATGCAATTCTTCTATTAAATTTGGTCAATTACTGGGAAGTTTTACTTTGTTGAGTATTTCTATTAAGTCTAATTTTTCTAAGGTCAATTTTGGCAACTTTTTTGATTTTTTTTTTTCCCCCATCATTGGATAAATTTTGGCAATTTAAAATCTTGTGATTCTTCAGTAAGTTTTCTCTTATACATTTATCATGTGCAATATTAGCTATTCTGGTTTTATTTGTACAATGAAAATGTATTTGTTGTGATTTAGATAAACAATTACTTGAATTTGCATCACAGCTGAAAATGAGTAATTGTAAATCCCCTCATCGGTTCTCCAGGTCTGTCTTTTTGGGTCAAAACATCTCACCTCACTTCTCTTCTAGCTGTACTGTCTTCACATAACTAATTCCTGTTCACATGTCAGATGCCAACTTAAGCATCATTTGCTCAGGAAAGACTCTTCTGATCCCTACTAGATCAAGGGTCCCTGTTATGCTGAGATTTTTTCTTGTATCACAATAATTAGAGTTATAATTATATATTTCTATGAGAATGTATTGTCTCCCTCAGACTTTGTTCCCTGAAAGGAATTTTGTTTTCCTTACCACTGGGTCCCTGGCACATAAAAGGCACTCAAATTTACTGAAAGAATGATGAAAGGAAAATGGCATCTTATCTTAATCCCTAGTGCCCATATAATGCCTGATCAATACTAGGCATTCATCAAAAGTTATTTGGATTTCCCTATTTTTATTTCTGGATTGTTAAGGTCTGAAAGAAAATGATCAGTTTTTTTCTCAATATTAATTTTTAAGTTGAATCTTTAATGCTATAAATATTTGTAAGCCTTTAATAGCTATGCTACTCTAATATTCTCCTATTCCTTTCTTAGTAGGGCTGCTATACTGTACATCTCCAGGAAGATAAACTGTATTCCACAGAGCAGGAGGTTATTTGGTATCACTGCATCCTCACCTCTCTCTGTGAAAGGAAACACAGTCAGCTATCTCCTAAAGTTGCTTATCATTACAGTTCTAATCCCTAGTTGTATATCATAAGTACACAGGACACTTTAAGGACAGAAATGCTTGGGCCTCACCCTAAAATTATTGAATCAGAAAGAACTGAATTTCTCCATATGACTGAGGAGTTAGGAAACACTGGGAACATAGGATGAGTGTGGGAGATGTAGTTAGACCATAATCTTGATAAGCAGCTTAACAACAGTGTACCTTGGTTTCAATACTAAAAAATTCGAAATTTAGTTCTACATATAGTGATAATTATTAAAGATGTTCACAATGTAATGAAATAATCAGACTGACAAGAAAGCTTAACTTGGCATCAGTGTGGCAGACAGGCAAGAAGGGTATGAAGCCTAAGTCAGGGTAGGAAGCTATCACAAGCTAAGGAATGGATGGTAAGGACTTAAACTAGACTGGCTGCAGTACAAGCAGGAAGGAAGGAAATGAGAAAGGACTCATAAAACATTGGATAGGACTTTGATCAACAAAATAAGTAAGCTGGGTAGAGGCTGAACACCGTATAACATTATTTCCAGGCTAAGCAATTGAATGTAGTTTGATGATGTCATTAACCAAGTAGGGAATATAGTAGAAGGATAGAATGGAGCAAATAGAGGAAATCAATTCTGTTTCTAGCTATGATTCAATTGAAGTTCTTTGTAGGCCCTTTAGATGGACCTAGAACAGGAAGAACTTGGAAATTAAGATTTGGAGTTCAGAAAAGAAGTTGAAGCTAAAATCTTAGGTTTGGGAGTCAACAGGGTATTTGGTAACACTTGAGGACATTAGAATGAGGGAAACTAAACAGGGAATAGTTCATGTAGAATTAAAAGTACCTAGCACAAAATTAAAGATAAACCAGACTTTCTTGTTAACTTTACTTAACCATACAATCTTAATAAGGCTTACACATAGCACCATTAAAAATAAGCAGAAGTTAATGTGAAGAATAGTAATATAAAAACTATCTGCAAACTGTAGGACAACTTTAAATATGACTATTATATCTCTGAAATTATTTAGAATCCATTAGTCTATTAGTTTGGAAAGACTGTCATTTATAGCTTATAAGCAGTATATTCATCAGGTTGGCTCCTCATCTATATCAATACTTCCCTAAATGAAACAATCAGATATTTGGTGATTTACTTCGTACAAAGTCAAGTCAATATACATAAACTATTAAGTCAACTCATAAGAAATAGAGCCATGTATTTACGAAATGCAACTTCTAATATCAAGAGATTATCACTTAAAATGTGTCTATGTATGTGTGTACTTGTGTGATTGGCAGTTTTGTAAAATTTCTCAACTTTAATAATTGAAATACCTGATTGGTCTGGAATTATTTTAACAGCAAAAAAGCAAAAAACAAAACCAAACTTAAGTTCACAGGGCCATGCTACTTCCAGAGGGTGAATGCCCTTGTTTGGAATGAGTCTCTGAAATCTTCATTTTTAAGAGGTACCTAAGTAATTATGATGCAACAGGTTCAGGAAACTATATTTTGAGAAACATTACCATATATTAGATTTACATTTTAACTAAGACTGTTTTTAAAATGTTGAGAAATGTATAGACTGCAGAAAAATGTTTTAAATAACAGTGTTATATGTTTCAAGTAGAAAATACATTTTCTTTATTCAAATCATGTTGACGTTCAGTGTATTTTGAAATATACAAGAAGTTATACCAAAGCTACATTTTAATCTCATCACATTCCAGTCCAAATTCTTTACCATTTACTAAAAATAACTTTTTATAAAGCTTACTATTTTGTCTAATATTATACAGACTATCAATCTATAATTTTTTGTGTTTATCTCAAAAATTAGAATAGCTTATGAGCATATTATATAAAACTAATTGGTATATTACACACCAAACATAAGTACAGATTCTGTACAATGTAATTATGTACATATATATTACAAGAGACTAAATGCCTTGTTGAAAGTAATTTTTTTTTTTTTTTTGAGATGGAGTCTTGCTCTGTCACCCAGGCTGAAGTGCAGTGGCTCTACCTCCTGGGTTTAAGTGATTTTCCTGCCTCAGCCTCCTGAGCAGCTGGGATTACACGCACCTGTCATCATGCCCAGCTAGGTTTTGTATTTTTGTAGAGTTGGGGTTTCACCATGTTGGCCTGGCTGGTCTTGAACTCCTCCTGTCAGGTGATCCACCTGCCTCGGCCTCCCACAGTGCTGGAATTACAAGAGCGAGCCACTACGCCTGGCAAAAAGTAGTATTTTAAGAAATCTTTCATGGGAAAAAAGCTCTGCATTATAAAATGTGGTAGCTTGAGTAACGGTCACTTTTCTTTCACGAATTTCTTTCAGTGGGCATTAACTGTCCATTTAGCTTCATTAACAGTTTTACCACAAGGCCAGCCTACAAAGTAAAAGATGACAACAATAAATAAAAAACATGTAAAAGTGTTTAAAGGACATACATGACACTGGGCAGTTCCCTATCTATTTGAAAGGGAACTTATCAGGAGACAGCTTGTTAAGAAAGAATATAGAGGGGATATTTACTCAGGCTTTTGAATGGACTTAAGAAGCGATCTGCTGGATACAGCTAGGGGGGCACAGGTAAGTCAAGAAGTGGGAAGAACTACCTAATACTTTGATAGAAGAAATAGGTAATACTGACCAGAATTAAAAGATATGGCACAAGAAAGAATTTGTTATAAAAGTGAAATAAACTATTCAGGTAAGTTTCTGACTTTCCTTGCTTAGAAGGCCTGCCTTTTTTCCTTGGCCTTAAATATTTTAATTTCATGGAATATTACAGATTTTCCTTGAAGTTAAATGGACGTCTCTTTTAAAAAAAGAAGCAACTTTCCTAACTCAGTAGTTCATTGTTAGAAGTCCAAAATAAATAATACTTACCTGTTTTGTATGTACTATAAAGCTCATTTTATTTTCCATGCTATGGATCTGAAAACAAGTATCAGCGTCTCCCAATTGCCACATAAAACAACCATACTTAAGACTGATGAGTAAAGCCTGCAACATAATTGGAAGTCATTATATTGAAATATATATTAAAAACATCACCTATTTTCTTTTACTATCTACATTTACATAGTCTGGTCTAAATATAATTGTTCAGAATGTTTTATTAAAGCCTTTTCAAAGCACCCACACTACCCTCACACAGCCTGCAGCACAGAATCACATAGACCAGTAGACTCTCAGGAGAGTGCCGTGAGCAATGATATTTGTTGTATAAGATTGACAAAATTTTTTTTAAATGTCAATTCTATCCATGGTTTTCAGGATAATGAAAGATACTACCTTTATTTTCTTCTTGCAGGTTAAAAACTACCTCTTTATTCAGTATCTTTCTTTTGAATATTTACATAGTACTTTCAGATGTATAGTTTATGCAACTGGGGTAACAATGTTAACTTAGGCAGTCTCATCCCATTGAAAATAAGTACTCTGACATATTCATTGTAAAAGTAAGCGTAATTTTAAAATTTGTTAATAATTTTAAAACAATATATTTTTACAATAAATATATCAGAGTACGTAATTTAATAGTTAAAAATAAAATTCTTGTGTTCAAGGACAGTGTACAGTAAGGAAGGAATTCTTGAGAAACCTAAAATAATGAAAACAGTTCAATGGAGCTGAAGAGCCAAAGAATCATCCACATGATGGTTGTAAATGATCACTCTGCACAAAAAGGAAAAAGCAGCTCTCATTAGAAGGTAAAATCTATAATTGGCAAGGTTTCATTAAGGGAAGTCAAACATCACAAGAGAAAGAGTTGAGAGGAGTAGCTGAGAGCAGAAAAGGAAAACCTACAGAAGTCAAAGTAGCACATGGGTGGCCAGCAGACAGAAATAGTGATGTTGACAACTGGTCATGTAGAGTGTTATTATGTGGGTGTTTAAACAACCAGTTATATCAGAAGGGCTTTATGGTAAACATAAATTGACATCAGTAGAAGATAGTCTACTGCCTGGGTGTGGCAGTGGTACTATTAAATTTAAAGACATATCAACAAGTACAGTTCAGTTGGGAAGACTGTAGCATGTTCACTATAGCAAAGCATAACGCCACAACACGGGACACTTAACTGCTCAATAGTGTTTACATTTTATGTTAGCAGAACAGACAAGTCTCTCATGAGCATATGAAACTGGCTAAGCTATGTTTTCTGCTGGGCAACTTTCATTATTTCAAAGAGAAACTACCTATAGAAGGTGGAAATAATTGATATAAAAAACACAACTGTGTCCCATGGCTTTTCCTGAGAATCTCTGACACTAATATATCCCATGTAGTGTTTTAAATACAATTGAAGGTATTTTTGCAGATGAAGGTGTTTGCTCTAGTTTTGCAAAGCTTGTTGAATTCAATCCTAGTAGATCTTGGTGAATCTAAGACAACTGAGGACAAGCTAGTTGTTCCCACATTTGACAGCTGAAATATGTAATTATCTTAGAGCCTTATCAGTGGTTTACAGAGAACAAGGTAATGATAGACAGAAAATATCTTTACTCTTTGGATCAATCACCTTTTTAGATATGTAAGGACAGCATTTCTATTTATAGTTCAGGAAACTGAATCTCTTACCTAAGAAAAAGCAGACTTTTAATTAAGAATATTATTGTCATCCTTCTGTCTGTTACTGCTATCTCTCCTGGATCAGAATATTATACATAATATGAAATGTTATATTTAAATGTTAAATTATGTTGCTAAACCGTCATTTGAATACTATATAAAACTTTGTTTTATTGCTGAAAATTGGAATGCTAACAAAAGTGAAACATAAAACATAGTTTAGAGAAATGGCACAGCATCACCACCCATTTCTATGAAGTGTGATTTGTAGATGTTGGTATAAAATGCTCTGAAACGGCAGATGAAAAATTTCTTGAAATGCTAGGGAGCATTTCTCCTTCATTTCCTTTAATGAACTTAGTCCAAGAGAAATAGAAAAGTGGTTACAAGCTAATAAACAGCAGCCTATTTTGTGTGGGCAAAATAGTTTTAACACAGAATGAGGATGGGTGTAGTGGCTCACACCTGAAATCCCAGCACTTTGGGAGGCCAAGGTAAGAGAATCACCTTGTAGAAATAGGGTCTTACTTTGGTGCCCACACCAGGAGTTTGAGGCCAGCCTGGGCAACAAAGTGAGACCTTATCTCTACAAATAATAAAAAAAAAATTAGCTGGGTGTGGTGGCGTATGCCTGTAGTCCCAACTACTTGGGGAGCTGAGGCAGGAGGATCACCTGAGCCCAGGAGTTTGCAGCTGCAGTGAGCTAAGATGGTGTCACTGCCCTCCAGCCAGGGCAACAGAGTGACACTATGTCCTACGGGGAGAACAAAAGAAAGAAAGAAAGAAAAAGAAAATGATAAGCAAATGACCCAAAAGCAGAGTGACTATAAGAGTGTAGTCCCAACCTTTTTGGTACCAGGGACTGGTTTTATGGAAGACAATTTTTCCACAGACAGGGGTGTGGGGAATGGTTTTGGGATCACAAGCACATTTCATTTATTGTGCCCTTTATTTCTATTACTGTTACATTATAATATGTAATGAAATAATTACAGAACTCACCATAATGTAAAATCATTGGAAGCCCTGAGATTGTCTTCCTGCAACTAGATGGTCCCATCTGGGGGTGATGGGAGACACTGACAGATCATCAGGCATTACATTCTCTTAAGGGGCATGCAACCTAGCTAGATCCCTTGCATATGCAACTCACAAGAGGGTTCATGCTCCTATGAGAATCTAATGCTGCTGCTGATCTGACAGGAGGCAGAGCTAAGACGGTGCTCAGATGGTAATGTGAGTGATAGGGAGCGACTGTAAATACAGATGAAGCTTCACTTGCTGCTCATCTCCTGCTGTGTGGCCCTGTTCCTCACAGGCCATGGACCGGTGCCAGTCCACGGCCTCAGGGTTGGGGACCCCTGCTGTAACAGAATTCAAGAAATTAAGCTCTAGGTCAATTACTGAAATCAGACCGCATTCCACCCTATGTCCCTAGATATTTCATCTCCATTCACATGTATATCTATCAAAGTAACTGCTGCCCTTAAAGAAGACCCTGAAAATTAATATAAAATGACTAAACTATGACTGGGATATTTCAGGAAGTTATGTGATTATAAAGACCTATAAAGACATATAAAAATGAGGAAAATAAAAATTGGGTTTAAAATGAAATTTCCTAATCTAAATGCCTTTTAAAAATGCATAAGCTTCATTATTACTTTAACTGATTTGGTCTATTCTTAACAAATTTTAATTAACAAATTACAAAGCAGGTGGATCATTTGAGGTCAGAAGTTTGAGACCAGCCCGTCAAATGTGATGAAACCCTGTCTCTACTAAAAATACAAAAATTAGGCGGGCATGGTGGTCCATGCTTATAATCCCAGCTACTTGAAAGGCTAAGGTAGGAGGATTGCTTGATTTTGGGAGGCAGAGACTGTAGTGAGCCAAGAGCATGCCACTGCACTCCAGCCTGGGTGACAGAGCAAGACTCTGTCTCAAAAAACAAACCAAACCAAACTGAATTAGATTTTCATTAGCTTCCTATTATAAACGAAAAAGCTGTTCATCCCATTTAAATGTGTTAAATATGCTAAAAAATAATTGATAAACCTATATCTTACAATGACTTACAGTTAGAAAAAGGAGCACCATACTCTTAACTTCTAACTGAATAGCTCTAAAGTGGGACTGAAAAGGATCTGACCCACCTACTGCTGCTGTCACCTTTTTCAGTGCCAGGAGGTAAACACACCTGCCTGTCACCAGCACCCGCAAACACCAGAGGTGGGCTTGGAGAGAAGCCTGCCCTGCCCACCACTGCCACTGGCACAAACTGTCTAGGGGCCTGAGGACAAGCCTGCCCTGGCCACTGCCACTGTCAACCATGCCTAAGCATGCCATCGAAGGGCCTGAGGACTGATTCAACTAGCATGCTGCTGCCATTTCCTGCACACACCATCAGAGGGCCTGAGGACAGGCCTGTTCTGCCTGCCGTTGGTGCCTGCGCATGTCATCTGGAGCTCGAGGATTGTTCTGCTCTGCCTATGCCTGCTGGTGCCCAGCACTATCTTGGGGCCTGAGGAAAGGCATGCCCTGCCTACTGGTACAACCACTGGTGCCTGAGCACTGGCCTGCCTGCAGTCACAGTCCCCAGAAAAGCCTCACTACAGCCTCCATTAACAACCACAGTCTAAGCCACTGAGGGACTCAGAGACACCACTAATGCTCATAAAGCTGAAGAAATCATAGGGAGACCATACTACTGCACTCACCCAGAATCAAAGCCAAAGCACTCTATCCAACCAACACTATAGCTACTACATCTATAGGAAAATGTCTTTCCCTACAAAAGCCAATGCATAAAATAGGAAGAAGTGACATCAGATATGCAGATATAAACATAAGGATACAAAAAACATTGAAAAACAAGAAAACATGACACCTTCAAAGGAAAACAGTAATTCTTCAGTAATATATCCTCCCCTAAAATTCTTAAATGTCTAAAAATCAAAATAATGACACTAAAGAAACTCAGTGTGATGTAAGATATATATCATAACAAAAGTACATAATCCTGGAATGGAAGAACTCAATAAATGAAATAAAAAATACAACTGAGAGCTTCAACAATAGACTAGATCAAGCAGAATAAAGAATTTGTGAACTTGAAGGTAGATATCTTAAAATAACCCAGGCAGACCAAAAAAAAAAAAAAAAAGAATGAAGAAAGTCAGTCAGTGTGATATGTGGGGTACCATAAAGTAACCAAATAGTTGAATTCTGAGATTTTAGAAGGAGAAGAAATGGAGAAAGACAAAGAAAACCTACTCAATAAAATAACAGCTGAAAACTCCCCAAGTCTTGTAAGAGATGTAGACAGCAAGATACAGGAAGCTCAAATATATCCAAACAGATCTGACCTAAAAAGGTCTTTCCTAAGGCATGTTACAGTTAAACTGTCAAAACTCAAAGACAAAAAG